CATATACGTGATGGGCTACATTACAGTGGCTCGTGATTTAAGGCTAGAGTGGAAGTATGCAGTGGCATCTCGGCAATGACATGTTCTTAGAACTGAGAAGGGTCTCGTATATGGTCCACGTGGTTGTGTAGAACTTTGGTCTGGATAGGCTACGACTGGGGATTCTGCGAGGTCTTTGATATTGATCTTAATTGGCTTTGTTTTCGATGGCTTGACATTGATAACCTTCGTGGGAGGATGCCGGTATGGGATTGGGAACATGCTGTTAAACAACTGTATGGTTATACGTTACGAAACTGTTGCTTCTTAGAGGTGAGTTTGCGGACATGGCGGCATTAGCATAAGCGCTTAAGGATGTGATGCTGTATAGCTGACTGTCGGATATGGAGCTTGAAGTAGTTCTTGATGGATGAGGCATATATACTGTTACAATTATACCTGGCCTATGATTAGGAGGCGGCCGACTTCACAGTGCGGCCGAAAGCTTGCAAACTAGTATGTTCGAGGGCTCCACATCACACACCTGGAACGTGATATACTAGCAGTCACGAAATATGTGTCTTGAAAGCCCAAAACCTGTTGCGAAACAAGGCGTTCAACCCATGCGCATATGTATAATGTTTCAAGCGGGGCACGAAGGGAGGAAGAACTCCATGGTAGCACGAAGTATGCTCGGGTTTCGAACCGGCATCCGGAGCAGGGGGCTGCACAGGCGGGCGTTTCATAAGTTTCATGGCCTCAACTGCATCACGGACCTTGCTCGAAGGCCCTACCTCAGAGACCTTCAAACATGAGGCCCCGGAAGTGGCCGAGGGTTTTGTCTTCTCGAGCTTAGCATCAGCCTGCAACTTCAAAGCTCGAAGCTGGTTCACAACACGTGACAGCTTCCGATCAGATGCAGTCGACAACACACTGCTAGCACAGCTGCTAGCAGTAGACACTCGCGACAAGTTCGAAGGTGTTGCCGTCGAAAGCTCGGAAAGAGTGTCGATGTCACCCGAACCATCCTGGGGCTCCTTGGGCAGATGCACTCACCGACAGTGTAAAATATTTGCTGACTAGTCCAGTTAAGGATTTGCTGACCAAGTTTCTGGTGCAAGCTCACTCAATCGAAGTCTCAGGTCTTTCAGGGACTTCAATTTCGAATCATCTGCTCGCTTGCAAATCCTCCTCATGCGGGAAGCCTTACACCACCAGGACGTGCATGTACATATATATATA